GGTCAGGGGGTGGACGTGCAGGAGGTGATGAATGCCATCACCACGGCAGAAATGCCATCAGAGTGAGGTCACAGACCAGACAAGTGATTCCAGAATAGGACTCAGAGAAATGAAAGGAATGGAAGCCACCAAACTGAATCTATACAGGGGAAACGCTGCTGCCATTCTCTTCTGTGCCAGGGGAGGGGAGAAATAGAAGTCGTTGGTGCACTCCCAGCATTTTCTAGGAGACATTACCAATTCTTTTCCATTACTGATTTGCTCACTCAATCCATCAGAACATTTGCAGGCTGCAGCACATGGCTGATGCTGAGGTAGCCATGCTTGTCCAGTTCAGAGGTGAAGGGGACACGTCACTGCCGGGACCTGGAGACACCAGGGAGGCTGTGCACAGCCTGGAACGTACAACAGAGAGAACATAAGAAAGAAGGAGAAAGACCGCTCAGCAGGGTGCTGTGACAGGACAAGGGGAGATGGATTCCAACTAACAGAGAGGAGATTTAGGCTGGATATAAGGAGCAAGGTCTTCACACTGAGGGCGGTGAGGCACTGTAAAGGTTGCACAGAGAGGTGATGCTGCCCATCCCTGCAGACACCCGTGGGCAGGGGATGGGGCTCTGAGCACTGATGGAGCCGTGGGGGTCCCTGCTTATTGCAGGGAGTGGGACCAGATGGCCTTTACAGGGCCCTTCCTTTCAGGGCACAGAAATCCCCACTTACGACTCCCTCGTGTTTTTCCTCTTTCAGGGAAGGCCCATCCAGATGGCTGCTGAGCACTGACTTGTTGTAATCTCTCTTCCTGGTCAATTAATCCCCAGGACTGAATGAAAGAAAATAATCCTAAATTGTCTGTTGCTCCCAATTCTTTTGCTTCCCAGCTGTGCCGTGTAGAATGGGGGCTCTTAATTTTATAGAGTTAATTTCAAATCACTTTAATCTCTTCCCTTAACATGGTTCATCAGGGAAGTCAATTCCCCTTGCGACCGCCTCGCTCTGCCAAGAACAAGCCTGGAGGATGCAGCTCCTATGGCAGACGGGATTACACTCGCTGAGCTCCGTGCTGTCTTCCTCATCCTCAGGTCCACAGGGAAGGCTCTCGTTGCCCTCTGAGACCTTGGGTGCACCCCAGCAGATTTGTGCTCCCTTGCAGGCTCTGCTTCCTCCCTTCCACAGCTGCAGTTATGCCTCAGAATAGCATTGATGGGAGGTGGGAAGGTGCCCCGAGCTGCCTTCCCCTGTTCCAAGGCAGACCCCATACCCATCATTTCTTATTGGCAATGCACTTGTTAGGCTCAGAGCTCTGAAATACTTCTTCCCCAGAGGCTGATTCCACAAAAGGAAAGACTTTTTTTTCCCAGTACGCAGCCCACTATCTTCTCGTGTTCTCAAATACATCCCTCCACGTATTCGTAGCTTTCTTTTTACCTTATTAAGCAAAAAAAAAAAGGGAAAATCACATCCGTACCCCACCCAAATCTGCTATTCAGCCTCGTAATGCTGCTCCCTGCTCTGCTGTGCAGGAGACCCATTCAAACCTGTGACTGCTTCAAAGACTTTTCCTGAAATCTGAAGTCACTCGTGCGCAATTTTCTCGAGTACTTTTAAGTTGTTCCTCAAACGCTGTCATTATGTTAATCTTCTCCCACGTCTGAGACCTCCAGTGAAGTCAGAGATGATGGAATAAGCGCTCTCCTGCAAATTGTGTTCATGTTTGCTGCACCTTCGGTACTTCTTGATCTCTGCTTCAAAGGGATCCCTCGGTTCAAGTGTTTAATTGCAGTGGTTTCACACCGACGGGCAGCAGTCCCAGCACGTCACTCTCTCAAGGAACAGGGAGGGAGCACACAATGAAAAGGCTCCTGGGCTGCGGTAAGGGCAGGGAAATCACTCACCAGTTCCCATCATGGATAAAAACACTCAGCGTAAGGGGGATTGGTGTAATTGATTGCCTTCTGTTAGTGGACTGGAGCAGCGGGAAATGAAAGCAAACTAAAAAATCAGAATCATTCGGGTTGGAAAAGAGCTCTGAGATCCCCAGCACAGCCTCAAACCATCTCACCGTGCCCCCTGAGTGCCACATCCCTGTGGTCACTGAACACCCCCAAGGATGGGGACTCCCCACTGCCCTGGGCAGCTGTGCAGTGCTGACCACTCCTTCAGAGAAGAAATTTTCCCCCATCCACTCTTTTCCACCTCTTCTCATCAAGCAGAGAAGAGGAATGGAGTTTGCAAAGAAGGGGATAGATATCCATGTATCCTATTTATTAAGGTGATCCTAAAGCCATCACATGAACCCTCACGCTGCAGACACCATTCTGCTTCCTGTCAAATCCACTGCCACCCTGATGTGCCATGCACCCAGGGCTCCACTCCCTGTGCCCAGGGCCACTCTGCAGCCCCAGCTGCCAATGGGACTGTGCTCAGCAGGAGCCAAATTATGAGCCTTGGGATGGAGCACAGGCACAGCCCCGATGTGGGAGCACAGAGCTCCGGCCTCAGGATGGCTTTTGTTGACAGAGCAGCTCCATGGAGCAGCTGATGCCACAGCACTCACCTCCAGGGCTTCAGATGGGGCCACGGTCATCAGCACTGCATGGATGCAAGGAAGGCAACAGCAGCAGCCTGACCTTGGCTTTCACTGAGTGGTAAGGCTGTGTTTTACTCCTGCTTTCAGTGAATGGCAAGCTTGCATGCTCTAACCAACTTCTTCATTTCTTAATAGCACACTGTAAGCACTTTGGGGCAGCAGGAGCAGCAGGTGTGCGTCCCCAGTGCTCAGCACCACCCCTGCCCCACCACCAACAATTCCAGCCCTGTCTGCACGTCAGAGGAATCCAAGCACTGAGTTACACATCACGGAGCAAACCAAGGGAATAAAAGTCTGTTAGTGCTATTAAACACAGATACATTGCCTCTGGCTCTGAGCAATGAAGCGCTGCAGGCAGGGTGAGAGGCTGGGGAGATGCAGCAACCTGCTTGCTTTGTTCTCCCACTGCACCACGTGCTGCTGCAGGGCACGACGCTGCCCTGAGGGATATCAGCACGACCCAGAGCAGCTGCCCTTGTGCTTTCATGCTGCACAACTATGCTCCACATTACAGGACTGCAGCTGAAACACTTCAGTCTGTATGAATGATCCCACAAGACCTGCCTAAACCCCAGGCTTCCAAAGCCAAGGTAGCCCTGTGTCCACTGCTAGGGTTAGGACTGCAGTCTGCAAACATCCATTCTCAGCTGGTCCAGAGGATGCTTTGAGTCCTCCTGACACGGAGCCCTGGGGAATGTTAAGATGAAAAGATACATTCTCGTGGCTAATTGTGCAGTTAAGACATGTCTACACACAACTGCCTGATTTCTCCCCCCCTTCCCAGCTGATGCTGGAGAAACAGGGCCACGATGGGCAAAAGAGCCACCACCAGAACAATCCATGCATTTTGTCCCCATTTTGGCCAAGTTTCAGCCCTGTTTGGCCTCATCCTTTATGGAAGACACTTCACCATCTTGAGCACCTGTTAGTTTTCTCTGCTGAATTAGTTTTCTTCTGATGAATTATCTTTCAAGTCTGAGAGATCAAAACGGGATGCAGGTTCCAATAGGTGTGCATAGTGCAGATTAATACCAACAATCAACTATTTACAACTCCTGTTTTGTTCCTTTTTCTTTTCCCAACAATTGCACTTTGATGTCACAGTGAAGTCAGGACTTTATTCCTAAGCCATTACAAAAAGCTGAAAAACCTTTAATGGGTGAGAGCAGCTCAGAGCACTTCTTTGGCTGTTATCTTTCACCTGGCAAAACAAACGCGTTCTATTGTCACACTGATTACTGACCCAGCTTGATGCAACCTCATCCATCCACTCTTGTCACGCTTAACAAAGGTAACTTTGAATCATCTGCAAATTTTGACCTATTTCCTGCCCTTTTCAAGACCCAGAAGAAACAGTGGTCCCAGTGCAGACCCTCAGGGAGTTCCCTTGGGCGTTTGGTCAGGATGGTCAATCAGTGCTTTTCCCTCCCTGTTTTGATTCTTTGCTGTTTTCTGAGTCATAGCAGCACTTTCTCTTTTGTCCCATGATCAGCTAAGAATATAAACAGCCCCAAAGAAGCATGTCACAGGATTTCTGAAAATCCAAACAAGTTACGCCCATAACTCGGAGTAAAAAATGTTCAGAGCTATGGAGACAGATTTGGGATAAGCAGCTCAGTGAAACAGAATACATTCACTGCCTTGTTGGCAAGCTCAAAGGCTTGAGGAGAGCTTAGCATAATGAATTGTCACAACTTGCTCCTTCCACGTCATTCATACTTATTTCATATGCAATAATGCCCATCCAGTTACATTAATGACCAACAGCTTTTAACAGCACTGAAGCCTGACTGCAAGCAAGATCTGTATTCATAAATTCCACAGAGCAGCACCACGTTCATCCCTCAGGTGCATCACACAGAAGCCCCATGTCAGCAGCACGTTCCTGGGCCCAAAGGGCAGCCCTGCTCCTGCACAGGACCGTTGGAGCCCAGGCACAAAGCAGCAGCAGCATCACCCTGCTGTCAGGATGCATCCCGTGCTCCCTCCTGCACCAGGTCTGACTGCCTGCCATTCTCCACAATGAAACTGCTTCAATCGATGCCATGAACACCCGGACCACAGCCCTGAGTGCACAGAACACCCAGTGAACACCCAGCAGCATCCCTCCCCTTCAGCACAACGCTGTGCTCCTCCGTCCGCATCCAAAGCATCTCCTCAATTTCCAGAGCACACCAAAAAGTTCCCAGGACATTTACTCCTACAGTGAGACACGAACCAGACTGCCCTGCTCAGTGCCCACGTTTTATCCCAGTTAGCCACGTCGAAGACTGAAAGCTGAGGCTGTAACTGGATTGACTGGAAGCAGCAAAGTTCCCTCCCTGTTAAGTTCACATGGCACAGACTGCTGAGCCAGCAGGATGCTCTGCTCGTGCAAATGAATTTCTTTGCAATCACAAAGCAAAGTTCTTACCTGTGAGAGGTGAAATTGTCGTAAGAGCCCACAGTGTAATGTCGAAAGAGACGCTTTGTTCTGTCTTCTCTGGTTTCTACAAGAAAAAAAGACACAGTGCAGAGCTGAGAGCTAACAGAGCAGTGGTCAGTGTCTCTGCTTCCTCTGTGTGTGTGTACAGAGTGAACCGATTCTCATGCAAGCACCAAGTGAAAAACAAGCCATAATCTGTGTGCAGACGTGTCAGTGTGAGTGGTCCCATGCAGTGCTGTGTGCAGTCCCAAGTGCACACCAGCAGCTTCTGTGAACAGCAGATCTCTCTCCTAGCACTCCTAAGTCTGCAGATTTCAATGCACCAAAGCATCAAATTTCATCAAAACTCCAAAGCAGTGCCACGGAGGAGAACCAACCCCAGCAAGGCAAAGGTGTGTTCTCTATCCCAGATAAATCCCCCCTCCCCTTTGGCCACTTGAATCCTGCAAGTCTCAGGGAATTTGGATGCAAATCCCCACAGAAGAGATGGGAACAGCTCCCATCCTCCTCTCCAGGGGGTCAGTGGGTCCAATGGGTGCGTGGAAGCTGTAAGAAAGGGGAGGAAGGAACCCAAAGACTTCTGCTACTCCTTGCATGTGAACAGCAGCACCATCCCCAGCAGCTCCATGGCCCAAGGCACTGTGTCCCCTGCTGGGAGTAACCATCCTTCCTAACACAGAAGGAACTGACATCACACTACCAAAAGTGAATTTATTTATATGGCCCGGGGTTAATTATGTCAAACAACTTACAGGAAGCACTGGAGGCCTCGCAATGAACTGGGCTGAGTGACACTGAACCAACTCATCCACGCCTGCAGCAGGGTGATGGGACACCAAACCATCTGATGCTGCTGAACACGGTGGTTAGAAGGGGTGAAAAGAAAGGAGAGGGCATGGATAGTGGAGCATGGATGAGACTCGATTTCCCCTTTGGCTGGGACACAAGCTGTTTACACCCAAAGCAAAACAAAAGTTTGCTTTTTCCTACTTTGGAATCCAAAATGACAACTGCTACCGAGAAGAGGCTGCAACAGTATAGGTAGGAGGCAGAGCTGCTGGAAAGGAGCTCTGCAGAGAAGGACCTGGGGTCCTGGAAGCCCACAGCTGACCATGAGCCAACCAAAAGGTGGCCAAAAGGCCAATGGGACCCCGGGGTGCATGGCACAGAGCACGGATAGCAGGGTGGGGAGGTGCTGCTCCGCTCTGCTCTTCAATAGGGGGGCATAGCTGGAGCTCTGGGTCAGGAGGAGGGGGCCGGGCTCTGTTTCGTGACAGGACGAGGGGCAGCGGGCACAAAATGGAGCTCAGGGAGTTCCGTGTAACCGTGAGGGAGAACTTTGCGCTGTGGGGGTGGCAGAGCCCTGGCACTGCTGCCCACAGAGGTGGGGGATCCCATCTGCAGGGATCCAAACCCACCTGGATGCTCTGTGTGCAGCTGGGTGGGGGGAGCTGCAGGGGTTCTTTCCAGCCCTACAGCTCCGGGTTCTGCTGTCACTGCCAACCTGACGAGGTTCTTTTAAGCTTCCAAACCTTTTTTTCTGCTCTTATGCTCCCAGCATCCGTCCTGCTGGGGGCTGAGGCCCCCCACACACCTCCACCCCACACGGGAAGAGTGCAGAGCAGTTAACAGAGTAACTCACTTCTCCAGAATGTAAAAATGAATTCACTAACAGCAGCTCTGCCTTTTGGGGGATTTTTTCCTTTCCCGCATCCTCCTGCGTTCTGTTCTTTTCTTTTTTTCCCCAGACACCGCAGGGCTCTCCCAGCGTATTCCCCAGAACGGGCTCTCCTTCTTCCATCGCGCCGTGTGAGCCGAGGGCTCGTCGTGCCGCTCACAAACCCACGGACATCGCCACCAGGGCGCATCCGTCGCTTCTCCGCGGTGCCGCAGCGCTGCGGTGGAGGTGCGCGAGTCGAGGGGCGCACAGACGGTGCTGCCGCCAGGGGGAGCCCGCGCTCCACAGCGGCGAAGGTAGCGCCGGGCCCGGGGCCGCGGGGCGGTCAGGACCTGCAGGCCCCGAGCAGGCCTCGTTTGTCCCTGCAGGTCCTCAACAGGCCTTGTTTGGCCCCACAGGCCCCGAGCAGGCCTCATTTGGCCCCGCAGGCCCTGAACAGGCCTCATTTGTCCCTGCAGGTCCTCAACAGGCCTCATTTGGCCCCGCAAGACCTCAACAAGCCTCGTTTGGCCCTGCAGGCCCTGAACAGGCCTCATTTGGCCCCGCAGGCCCCGAGCAGGTCTCGTTTGGCCCCACAGGTCCTCAACAGGCCTCATTTGGCCCTGCAGGTCCACAACAGGCCTCGTTTGGCCCTGCAGGCCCTGAACAGGCCATGTTTGGCCCCACAGGCCCCGAGCAGGCCTCATTTGGCCCTGCAGGCCCTCAACAGGCTTCGTTTGGCTCCGCAGGCCCCGAGCAGGCCTCGTTTAGCCCTGCAGGTTCTCAGCATGCCTTGTTTGGCCCCAAGCAGGCCTCGATAGGCCCCACAGGTTCTCAATAGGCCTCATTTGGCCCCACAGGTCCTCAACAGGCCTCATTTGGCCCTGCAGGCCCTGAACAGGCCTCATTTGGCCCCACAGGATCTCAACAGGCCTTGTTTGTCCCCACAGGCCCCGAGCAGGCCTCGTTTGGCCCTGCAGGCCCCGAGCAGGCCTCGTTTGGCCCTGCAGGCCCCAAGCAGGCCAAAGCTCTCAGAGCAGCCCCTCCACTGTTTACCTGGCAGGTCCTCCAGACAGGTGATGTTCTACCAAGCCCCATCCTGGGGGTCCTGGGAGAAACTGTCTCTAAGAAGCGAGGAATTAACCTTACTGAGGAAAAGACATGCTGTGCCAAGAAATAGAGATGATAAGGAGCGGTGGGTGCAGTGGTGCGAGGCGAGGTGCTGCCAGACAGCTACAGAAGGAGCTGACCCCTCACCTGGGGCTGAAAGCACCGCTTCCCCATTCTGCCCAGCCGCAGAGGGGTTGTAGCTCTTGGTTCTGGATGGAGGGACCTCAGAGCCACTGCAGCACCAGGACAGCACAGTGAGGCTGTAAGGGCAGGGGCAGCCCTGGCTCTGCACACCGTGAGCCCCGTGGGAGGCCGGGGCACTGCACAGGGAGGAGTGCAGCAGAGAGCTGAAACGCATGGAGAGCATCAGGACGGGGCTTCAGGCCAATGTGCAGCCCAGGAATCGGCATCCAGAACTGTGTACAAGCTGACATGGATGCACTGGGGATGGGAAGGGGCTGGGCTCCATGGGGGGCACCAGCTGAGCATACCCTAACAGCCAAGGGGAGCACATCCACCACCTGCTGCATGGCATGCAGAGGTTCAGAAATGTTTCCTGCCCCTTTCCAATCCTGCGAGGGACAAGCACAGCCCTGCTGCCATACCATGCTCCAGATGCATTTCCCCTCACTTCTGTTCATGGGGGCCCTTAGGTCCCACTCCCCCTTCCGTATACACCTGTGCTTTAGGTCCTTCTCCTCCCTTCTCTGCCATGCTCTGCCTCCTCATCTCCTGCCTCCCGTCCATGCGTGCACAGACACTTGTACCTCATTTGCAAACACCTCTATTGATCTCGTTCCAGATAGAAGAGTGGTGACTTTGTGAAGAGAGCTCGATTTATGGGCTGTCCGCAGCCCAAAGGCTCGTTCTCTTCCTGACTTCTAAATATAGCTGCTGCGGAGTGTGTGTTTAATGGAGCCGTCAAGGAGGCATCAGGGACCGAGGCTGATGGATGGAGAGGAGCGAATGCTTTGGAGAGGTGTGGAGAGGGAGGCTCTATATTTAGGGACGAGGGAGCAAGCGGGCGCGAAGGTGCCAGCTCCTGGGGCACCCTGTGGGAGGAGCTGTGCCAGCAGGGAAATGGGAACAGAGAACACAGAACGCTGGAAAACTACAGCCTGGCACCCAGCAGGAGCGCGTGGATGGATGCAGGCTGTGCTCAAGCTGCTCCGTAGACCACCTGTAAAGTGCCTCTGTAAAGTTTTCAAAATAATTTTTTCTAGGTAAGCCTGTCTCCTGGCACTAAATAAAAATACAAGAATACGAATGTCCCACGGCTGGCCAAGAGAAGTCTGGACGTGCCAGAGAAAAGGTCACAGGAGAGCAGGAGCTGTTATGCAGACAGGGCAGAGTGCTGCTGGGCCAGAGCTGATGCACAGGAAGCTCCGTGAGTCCTCCAGGACCTGGCTGGTCCCTGTCTCAGACAACAAATGGAAAAAAAATGAATCTTTTGGAATGTGAAAAGATAACGTTTTCTTTCTACAGCATGTTGGAGCTACGCTTCCAAGTACTGCATTTCATCTAATTAAGTGCAAGATTTATGCATCTCTGATTATGGGTGGCAATGTTTCTTTCATCATCTGTTTGTGATCAGCTGCTCCTGTGTCACAACAGGCACTGTAGCAGCACAAATTCTCAGAGGTGAAGAGGCCAGCACAGTGACCAACACAAACAGAGGACTGCCCTTGCAGCCAGGGCGTCCCTGGGAAGCACCTTCCCCAGTGGCTGCATGCTGCGGGCTTTGGGCTGCACAACACAGATTCCTGCACCGGAGCACCGGATGAAGCATGACGAGTCAGATTTTGGAAAACGATCTCTTAAATCACATAATACAGCAGCAGGAATATTGCTGCTATCAGCCAAGAGCTGCATCGAACCACCGAGAGGTCAAGGTCATCACAAACCATAAAGCCATCAAGCAGATAAGGAATTCAGGAAGGGAGATACCAATTAGATTCTGCGCTGGTCAAAAAAGAGGATTTCAAACGGATACAATCTTTTAAATTGAAATTTTACACTAAAAGCAGTAATGTGCAAGTCAGAGGAGATGTTGTCTTGGGAATGAAGGAAACTGGGGCCTGCACTTGTGCCTACACCAGTACGCAGACGCTTCTTGTGCCAACACACCCACCAATAAGGCTCACAGATGCCCCAGCTCTGTTTCACCAATCCCTTATGGGAGCCCTGATTCACTGCTTTTTGAACCATCTCGCCACTCTAGAAGTGACACCACATGCAGATGATGCTCTTGGTCAGGAGAACTGGCGGACAGCCGCCTCCTCCTGCAGCAGCCAGAC